AGCACTGCCTTCAGCCCAGGGAGTGTTCCTGGAGGCCCAGGATCGAGTCCCGCATTGGGGTCCCGCATGGAGCCTGATTCTCCCTCTGCCTATGTCTCTGCTTCTCTCTCTGTGTGTCTCTCATGAATAAATAAGTAAAATATTTTTTAAAAAGATAAGCCTTCAAAAGAGAAAAGTAGAAGAAAAAGAAAAGCCTGTCCAAGGGAAGAGAATAGGAAAAGGAACAAAAATGGAAACAAACAGACAAACAAAAAACTGTAAGCGTGATGCCAAAGAAGGAAATGAGGTAAAAGGATAAAGAAAGAAGAAAAAAGAAATAAACTTGATCCAAAAAATAAGAGAAGGAAACAAAGAAGACTACAAATGACTCTACACACACACACACACACACACACACACACACCAAAAAAACGAGAAAGAAAAAAGAAACACTGCTGGTCATATTTCCATCAGAATCTTATGTTTTGGAACATTCGTTAATCAGTAGACTTGGTACATTCTAAGAGCCTTCTGTGGAAGAGGCCTTCTGGGCTGGCTTAGGAGCTATCTTGCCCTTTTTTATATGCTGCTGTCAGATACAGAGTTGAGTGGAGGACCCTAGCCTCCACTGGAGGCACTGTGTTTCTCTCTGAAGTTTGATTTTGCTTGGGGGAGTGGATTGGAAGCAGAGGTGGTAGAGGAGGAAGAATATGGAATCACCCTGTCCCCAGGGTGAGGAACTCTTGGCTACTGTTGTTTAGGAGGTCCTTACAGAAAAGCAAGCAATTTCCTATGTCCCAGGCTTCCATCAGTTCTCTGCCCTTAACCTATCTGTTCCTGAGGTGTGGGCATTAACTGGTGCCACAGATCTCCTATATTTTATCTCTGGCTGAGATTCAAAATTCTAAGTTCTAAGGACTTGGCAAGGTACGGGAGGAGGAAGAGGGCCTCATGGTATTCCCAGCACCATCCTGTCCCAGAAAACAGTCACACAGTTCACACATGGAAGCTAGAATTTACTTTAACACTCAGAGAAAGGCTGGAATCAGGTTATAGGCCATCCATAGGTGACTCAGTTCCCTATGCTATTCTGTTACAGAAATGCAGTCACACAGAGGCTCGAATCTATTGTGGCATGAGAGTGAAAAGCAGCAGCCAAGTTATCTGCAGTCATCCCTTGTTTCTGCTCTCTGCTCAGTTCTGTCTCAGAAAAGCACCAGCTCGGTGGACACAGAAAGGTTTCAATGTATTGTAGCTCACACTGAAAGTCTGTTAGGTAATTTGAACTCTGCACATTTCTGTCCTTGCTGTTGAGTGCTACCCAATGGTCCCCAGTTGACCTTTTGTCCTCGGAAAGGCAAAATATTATCTTCCAAATGTACTCTGGGGAGGAGAATGATCTCTCCCAGTTAGACCCAGAAGATCTCCTCACTGAGGCTTATTGTGTGATCCCTCCTCACTGAACTCTCTCCTGCTCACTCCCCTTTAGAGCCCCATTCTTTCCTCTCCCCCAGTACATAGCACCAAACCTCACATCTGCCACATTCTCTACCTCCTACTATGCATTGTTTTCTTAATCCTCAGATCATATCTCTAGTTGTTCGAAATAATTGCATATTGTGGTTTCAAGGGACAGGACAAGCTCAGGATCCCCCTACTCCTCCACCATCTTAATTCCTCCTTCTTTTGTAGTGTTATTACTTGCCCTTGGTAGCAAGATAATTATGGCATCATGAAATGAGTTTGAGAGTGTTACCTTCTCTTCAATTTTTGGAAGAGTAGAAAAGGATTGACATTAATTCTTTAAATATTTGGTAGAACACACCAGTGAAATTACCTGGTCCTAAATTATCCTTTTGGGAGGAGTTTTTGTATACTGATTTAATATCCTCTCTCATTGTTCTATCTATATTTTCTATTTATTCATGATTCAGATTTGGTAGCTTGTATGTTTCTAAAAATTTCTCCACTTCTAGGTTTTCCAATTTGTTGTTGTATAATTTTTTATAATAATCTCTTATGATCTTTTGTATTTCTGTGATACCAGTTGTAATATCCCCTCTTTTACTTTAAATTTACTTATTCAAATCCTCTCTCTTATTTTCTTGGTTAGTTTAGTTAAAGATTTGTCAATCTTGTTTTTCTTTTTTTAAATTTATTTATGAGAGAGAGAGAGAGAGAGAGAGAGAGGCAGAGACACAGGCAGAGGGAGAAGCAGGCTCCATGCACCAGGAGCCGGAGGTGGGATTCGATCCCGGGTCTCCAGGATCGCGCCCTGGGCCAAAGGCAGGCGCCAACCCGCTGCACCACTCAGGGATCCCTTGTTTTTGTTTTCAAAGAAACAACTCAGTTTTATTAATCTTCTTTATTGTGTTTTTCATTTTCTTTTCTTTAAAGGATTTTATTTATTTATTCATGAGACGCACAGAGAGAGGGAGAGAAAGAGAGAGAGAGAGAGAGAGGCAGAGACACAGGCAGAGGGAGAAGCAGGCTCCATGCAGGCAGCCCAATGTGGGACTCGATCCCGGGACTCCAGGATCACGCCCCAGGCGCTAAACTGCTGAGCCACCCAGGGATCCCCTTCATTTTCTATTTTACTTATATATGTTCTAATCTTTACTATTTCTTCCTTCCTGATAAATTGGGAGCTAGTTGGTTTCTCTTTTTCTAGTTCCTTGAGATGTATAATGTTAGGTTGTTTGAGATCTACCTTTTTTAAAAAAAGATTTTATTTATTTATTCATGAGAGACACAGAAAGAAAGAGAGAAGGAGACACAGGCAGAGGGAGAAGCAAGCCCCATGCAGGGAACCCGATGCAGGAATCAATCCTGGGACCCCGGGATCATGTCCTGAGCGGAGGGCAGATGCTCAACTACTGAGCCACTCAGACATCCTGAGATCTATCTTTTTTTTGAAGTATGTGTTTATGGCTATAAACTTATTTTTTTCTTTTTTTAATAATAAATTTATTTTTTATTGGTGTTCAATTTGCCAACATACAGAATAACACCCAGTGCTCATCCCATCAAGTGCCCCCCTCAGTGCCCGTCACCCATTCACCCCCACCCCCTGCCCTCCTCCCCTTCCACCACCCCTAGTTCGTTTCCCAGAGTTAGGAGTCTTTATGTTCTGTCTCCCTTTCTGATATTTCCCACACATTTCTTCTCCCTTCCCTTATATTCCCTTTCACTATTACTTATATTCCCCAAATGAATGAGAACATATAATGTTTGTCCTTCTCTGATTGACTTATTTTACTCAGCATAATACCCTCCAGTTCCATCCACGTTGAAGCAAATGGTGGGTATTTGTCGTTTCTAATGGCTGAGTAATATTCCATTGTATACATAAACCACATCTTCCTTATCCATTCATCTTTCGATGGACACCAAGGGTCCTTCCACAGTTTGGCTATTGTGGACATTGCTGCTATAAACACTGGGGTGCAGGTGTCCTGCCATTTCACTGCATGTGTATCTTTGGGGTAAATCTCCAGCAGTGCAATTGCTAGGTCATAGGGTAGTTCTATTTTTAACTCTTTGAGGAGCCTCCACACAGTCTTGTCACTCCTATTTCAACCACAAACCCAAAAGGTAAAAGAAGAAAATGGAGATGTTTTCATATTTGACATAATATAAAGGGGTTCCTCTTTAAATCAATGACTTGGCATATATCTGTTTGGTTATATCACAACAATTTGTGAAGTCTTTGTACCCATTTACATGCCAAACTGACACTCTTTTGTAATGTACCAAATGAGATAAAAATAGGTCACTAACGGCATTTATTCTAGGTTAGTGAAGGTTTTATTAAACTGACAACTCAGATCAGAAATACGGAGAAAAACAATGCAAAACTTAAATTTGTGCATAGTTGATGTGGAAATACAGCTAATGTGAGAATTGGATTTAGGTCATATTGTGAGGTATTGTAAACTTCTCAAACACTCTTCATTGAACAAATTTGAATTGAATGACAGTTATGTGGAAGGCAGTGTAATGAGGGGAAAAGACAAATAGCTAGTTATACAGATGGGTTTCATTTTTAAAATCTTCTTATGCTAGATCATACTTTTGTGTGGGTTAGTGGGGCTGCCATTGTTCCTCTGCTGCACCACCTGTGCTATGCTTCTGTGGAGTTCAACTGGCCGCTTCAGTCCCAGTGCTGCAGGACCCCTCCTGAGGTACACAAAGCTTGTTAGCACTGCCACCCCTCCACACCACCCTGCACTGTACCTCCAAGGATCTGCCCTCTCCAAATACACTGTTCGCTGGGACCTAAACAGGGTTGTACCACAGGCCTGGCAGTATACAAGCAGCCCCTAAAGTGCTGAGCAGCATTCCTATTCCAAAGACACTCCTGCTTGGGAGAAAGGGAAAGATAACACACACCAGTGAGGCCCCAGCAGTGGATTTGAGGCAGACAACTGGTCTGACTGCACGTCCCACCCACAAAGGAAAGCTTCTCAGGGGATGCAGGTTGGTGCTGCTGTATCTCTGGAAAACACCTGTTCTGACTCATCTCAAGCCTAAGACATCCTTGGATTAGTGCATTAACAACACCAGGACAAAACACTGCCCACAACTGGTGAAGAGAGCCATTGCAGATGATGGGCTGAAGGAAAAAGTGGATCACCACCACAGCAGGGCACATGCATTACATATAGGAGACACATCTGAAGTGCCAGGTTCTGGTGAACAGAGGAAACTACATGGCAGAGGACTACAGTACCTCTTCTTAATAAGGCCGCTACTTTCCAGTGCAAGAGACATAGCTGAAAGACCATAAGTGAAAGTCTGAAAAATAAGTATATCTGAAAAACTTCAATTCACAAAAAAACGTTACTTGTAAAATAAAAGTATGTAAATTATGGGACCATATAACTAAAATTTGGCAGAGAGAGTATTAAATAGTGGGTTCAAACTTGTGACAATACTTAATATAGACTGCTAATATGAAGATATTATCTACAAACCTAACAGTAATCACAAAACAAAAACCAGTAATAGCAATGGACAAGATGGTATCACTCATGCAGGTCTCTCTGCTCATCAAGTTCAAATGCTACTCTGTCCTGTTCCTTGGTGTGGCCAATGGAGCCAAATGCTACCTAAAACCTCAGGCAGAAGAGGAAAGGAAGATAGCAGCTGAAGAGAAAGAGAAGCAGGATGAACAGAAACAAATTGAGAGAGAACTGGCAAAAGCCCAAGATGGCAGCATAATAACATGAGCCGGCCTTTCTCTGTGGGTGAATAAAGCTTTCTGTGTTTTGTGGGAAAAAAAAAACCAGCAATATATATGCAAAGAATAAAGACAAGAAATTCAAGTACATGACTAAATAACACCATGAAACCACGAGAAAGAGAAGGTAAGAAAGTACCAGAGAAACTACAAAAACAACCACAAAACAAGTAACGAAATGGTACTGAATACATACCTATCAATTATTACTTTGAACATACATGGAAGAAACATTCCAAATCATATCCAGACATAAGGTGATGAAGTAGATAAAAAAAAAAATCCAGGGCACTTGGGTGGCTCAGTTGGTTAAGTGTCTGTTTTCAGCTCAGGTCTTGATTCCAGAGTCCTGAGATCGAGCCCCCATATCTGGCTCCTTGCTCAGTGGGGAGTCTGCTTCTCTCTCACTCTGTCCCTCCACCCACTTTTTCTCTCTCTAATAAATGAATAAATAAAATCTTTAAAAGAAAAAAAAATCCAGGGACACCTGGGTAGCTCAGTGGTTGAGCATCTGCCTTCGGCTCAGGGTGTGATCCTGGGGTCCTGTGATCGAGTCTCACATCAGACGCCCCACAGGGAGCCTGCTTCTCCTACTGCCTGTGTCTCTGTGTCTTTCCTAAATTAATAAGTAAAATCTTTTTAAAAAAGAAAAAAATCCATCTATATGCTGCCTACAAGAGACTCATTTCAGACCCAAAGGCATGTACAGATTGAAAGTGAGGGGATGGAGAAATGTTTCTAATGCAAATAGACATCAAAAGAAAGCCAGGGTAGCAATATTTATATTGGACAATAAAAAGACATTAAAACAAAGTCTATAACAAGAGACAAAGAAGGACACTACATAATAATAAAGGGGGAATCTAACAAGAAGGTATAACCAATTGTAAATATTTATGCACCCAACATGAGAACACTCAAATACATAAAACTGCAAATAACAAATGTAAGGGAGCTACTCTATAACAATACAATAACAGTAGAGGACCTTAACACCCCTCCCATACATTGATGGAAAGATCACCTAAACAGAAAATCAACAAGGAAACAGTGGCTTTGAATGACACAATAGACCAGATAGATCTAACAGACATATTCAGAACATTGCATCCTAAAACATAAAAATACATTCTTTTGAAGTGCACATGAGACATTATCCAGAATAGAACACACATCAGACAAAAAACATATCTCAACATGTTAAAAAAGATGGAAATGATACCATACATTTTTATGACAACACTATGAAACTAGAAAATAATGATATGGAAAAAGGGCAAATACATGGAGGTTAAAGAACATGTTCCTAGACAATGAATAGATCAATCAAGGAATCAAAGAGCAAATCAGAAACAAATCAGCAAAAGAACATGAAAACACTAAGATCCAAATTATTGGGATGCAGCAAAAATGGTTCTAAGAAGGAAGTTTATAGCAATACAAGCATACCTCAAGAAACAAGGGAAGTCTCAAATAAATAACCTAACCTTAGAAATGAATAATTTTTACAACCAAATAAACTACTAGGCACCTGGCTCAGTGGTTGATCATCTGCCTTTGGTTCAGGTCGTGATCCCAGGGTCCTGGGACTGAATTCTGGATCAGGCTCCCTACAGGGAGCCTGCTTCTCCCTCTGCCTATGTCTCTGCCTCTCTCTGTGTCTCTCATGAATAAATAAATAATTTTTTTAAAAAAACCTACCAAAACTGAAACAGAAAGAAATAGAAAAATTTTAGAGATCATTAACCAGCAAGGAAAGTGAATGAGTAATCACAAAATTTCCAACAAAGAAAACTCCAGAACCAGATGGCTATGCACGTGAATTTTACCAACATTTAAAGAAGAGTTAACATCTAAATTTCTCAAACTATTCCAAAACATAGAAGAGGAAAGAAAATGTCCAAATTCATTCGTGAGGCCCTGATACCAAAACCAGATAAAGACATAACCAAAAAAGAGAAATTCAGGCCAACATCTCTGATGAACATAAATGCAAAAATTGTCAACAAAATAGGGAAAAAAATAACAATACTTTAAAAAATAATATTCACCACATGAAGTGGGATTTATTCCTGTCAAAAGTAGTTGAATGTTCACAAATCAGTCAATGTGATATGCCGCATCAATAAGACAAAGAATGAAAACCATATAATCTTTTCAATAGATGCAGAAGAAGGATATGACAAATTACAACATACTTCAACATAATTCAGGCTTTACATGAAAAAGCCCACAGTTAATACCATACTCAATGGGAAAAACAAAGAACTTTTCCTGTAAGTTCAGCAACAAGGCAAGGAGGTTCACTATCATGACTTTCATTCAACATGGTGTACCTATGTCCTACCCACAGCAATCAGAAAACAAAAAGAAATAAAAGGCATCCAAATAGGTAAGGAAGAAGTAAAACTTCCATTGTTTGCAAGTGACATGATACTATGTATAGAAAACCCTGAAGATTCCACCAAAACAAAACAAAACTACTAGAACTGATGAATGAATTCAGAAAAATCTTACAATACAAAATCAATATAGAGAAATCCATTACATTTGTACATACTAAAAATGAAGCAACAAGAAGAGAAATTAAAAAGGATAATACCATTTACAATTGCACCAAAATAATAAAATACCTAGAATAAACCTAGCCAAAGAGGTGAAACAACTGTACTTTGAAAACCATAAAATACTGAAGAAAGAAATTAAAGATGACTTAAGGAAATGGAAAGATATCCCGTGCACATGGAGTGGAAGAACAAATATTATTAAAGTTCCCATATTAGGCAATCTACAGATTTAATTCAATCCCTGTCAAAATATCAATAGCATTTTCCACAGAGATAGAACAAAGAATCCTAAAATGTGTATGGAACCATAAAAGACTTTGAATAACCAAAGCAGTCTTAAAAAACAACAACAAACAAAAAACCCACAATACTAGAGGTATCACAATACCAGAATCCAAGTTATACTATAAAGATGTAGTAACCAAACAATATGGTACTGGCACAGAAATAGATACATAGATCACTGGAACAGAATAGAAAACCTAGAAATAAATCCACAATTATATGGTGATAATCTTCAAAAAAGGAGGAAAGAATGAGAGAAAGTCTCTTCAATAAATTATGCTGGGAAATCTGGTCAGCTACATGCAAAAGAATGAAACTGGGTCACGTTCTTAGCCATACACAAAAATAATTCAACATGGATCAAAGACCTAGATGTAAGGCCTGAAACCATAAAAATGCTGGGAGAGAACATAGACTAATTTCTCTGGCATCAGCTGTAGCGACATTGTTGTAGACACCTCTCCTGAAGCAAGGGAAATAAAAGCAAAAAAAATAACTATTGGGACTACATCAAAGCAAAGTGTTTCTGAACAGTGAAGGAAACAATAAACAAAACTTAAATTCAACCTATGGAATAGAAGAAGATATTTGTAAATTACATATTTGATAAGTTATTTTATCCAAATTATAGAAACAATTGATATAATTCAATACCCAAAAACAAATAATCTAATTTTAAAATGGACAAAGGACATGAACAGACACCTCTCTAAAGAAGACATCCAGATGGCCAAAAGACACATGAAAAGATGCTCAGCATCACTCATCATCAGGGAAATGTAAAATAAAACTACAATGAGATATCAGCTCACACCTGTCAGATGGCTAAAATCAACATAAGAAACAACAGATGTTGGGAAGGACGTGGAGAAAAAGGAACCCTCATGCATTGTTGTTGAGAATGCAAACTGATGAAGCCACTGTTGAAGACAGTATGGAGTTTACTCAAATCATTTAAGTAGAGCTATCTTATGATCCAATAATCACACTACTCAGTACCTACCAACAAAATACACAAAGGTATACATGCAACCCTGTTTGTAACAGCATTGATTACAAATTTACATTATTTACAATAGCCCAATTATGGAAGCAGCCCAAGTGTCCATCGATTAATGAATGGAAAAAGAAGATGTAGGATATATATGTAGGATATATATTTATGTGTGTGTGTGTGTAGAGAGATGTAAGATTATATATATATATATATATATATATATATATATATATTCAATTTGTGAAATTTGTCTGAGTTTCATTTATCTGTTTATATCTGTTTAAATCAAATTTGATTTGTTAAATCAAATTCACTTTGCAATATATATATAATATATATAATATATATATATTCAGCCATAAATACAATGAATTCTTGCCATTTGCAACAATATGGATGGAAGTAGAGAGTATAATGCTAAGCAGACTAATCAGCCACTGAAAGACAAATAACATATATTTCACTCATATGTGGAATTTAATTAATAAAACAAATGAGAAAAAGAAAATAAAAGAGATACAAACCACAAAACAGATTCTTAATTGAAGAGAACAAGCTGAACAAGAGAACATACTGTAGGTGGGTGGGGGATGGGTGAAATATGTGATGGGGATTAAAGATTACGCTTATCATCATGAACACTGGATAATTGTTGAATCACTATATTGTACACCTGAAACTAATATAGCACTATATGTTAATGACAATGGAATTAAAATATAAATTTAACAAAATAAAATTAAATAAAATAAAAACATAATCCACAAATCACACATACATCACACAAACACATTATATTAACACACACCAAATATACACCATACACCACACACACAGAGTGCATACATACACAGAAATTTATCCCATATCCTTCACACATATATAATATACACATATACTATCCATACTGCACACACAAAGCACCCACACATCACATACGCACCACATATCCAAAACACACACCAAACATATACTACAAAAACACACACATCATCCCAACAACATTCAAACACACACACAATTTATAAAACATACATAAAAGACAGCTATACTAGCCACACACTGCATACATAACACATGTAAACCACATGTATATAGATATACATATATATATAGAAATATATAGAACTCACAAATATA